AATTATGAGTATTCTTTTCACCCATTGTCCCATAGTCTGAAAAAAAATTCATATATGCTAATTAAAAAGCATCAAATATTATTCCATTAAAATAGTACTGTGGTGATGAAATAGGGTAAAATAGTACAATAATTAAGCAAATTGTTATCATCTTATTAAGTTCTGCAAAATGTTATAATTTCAGCATCCTTAACTGAGCAGTTCTGTTCTAAATGCTATTTTGATGCTAATAAGAAGTATGCATATTTTGCCCTCCTCCTGCAAATTTTTCTAAATGACTAACTTTCTAAAGGTAATGCCTTCTGGAGTTTTCCTTCCAAAAATCACTTCTTGTCTCACTTAGTTTCATTATGTTCTTTTCATTTGCAGTAAGCTTTGACCGAAAAATGTTGTCTTCTTGGGAAGCAATTCATGTTAGGATGAGTCAGGGAAGAAATTTAAGCAGAATTCCAAATGAAGGGTGTCCCCAAATGTTGGGTTTAATTCTGAAATTACATATATAATATATATATATATAATATGTAAAATGTAATATATGTAATGTACATACATAATATATATGTAATGTTATATATATATGACACTATTGAATTATTTTCTCCATTTTCCTCTAGGGTCCTTTGTAAGCTCCTTCCTCCCTGCCCTTTCTAATGATAGGGGTTAGTAGAATATAATGGGCACAGTGACATTTAATGGTTTCCTGTTAGAGATCTGCATTTGGTACAGTTCTTGACTACAACTGCAGAACCCAAAAGATGGACAAGAGTTGGACAGGCACCATTAGAAGGCACCCAAAGTACTGACAATAAACTTAAACCAAAAATAGCCCATAGTTATTGCCTGAGTTACCTGCTACTTCTTACCGAATAGGATATTGTGCTGACATTAATTTGTATCAGTTCCTGTTCGAACAATGGCTGAGAAAATTCTTTATCTCTAACCACCATCCTTTTCTGAGCCAAACTTCCAGATTTTGTGAAAACTACCGTCTTTGAAGTGCTTCATCACATGAAGATCGTCCCAATTGTCCCTATCTTTGGCAAATTCTTAATCTTGGATTGGTAGCCCTTTACTCCCAGGAAAGTTTCCACAACCTCTCACCAATACCCAGCCACTGCATGATCAAGAGTGAAAATTAATTTTTAAGATTTAAGACAGAAAGGGAGAGAGAGAGGGAGAGAGAGAGAGCACAAGCAGGCGGAGCAGCAGGCTCTCTGCTGAGCAGGGAACCTGATGTGGGGGTTGAACCCAGGACCCTGGGATCATGACCTAAGCCGAAGGCAGACGCTGAACCGACTGAGCCACCCAGGGGCCCCAAAAGTGAAAATTAATTTTAAGTTCAGCCTATGAAAAATGTAATTAACAAGGGGAATCTGCTGCCAAAATAAATTATGCCCCTCGTTTCCATAGGCAAATGGATTTTTTAAATTACCACTTTGCATTGCAATCTATTTGTATAGATAATTAGAGCCAACAAGTATGCCATTCTAAGGCACTCCCCCATTTGCCATCCCTTTGCTGATTTTTCTCCTATCTTCTTCAGATTTTCCTCTCATGGGTCATCTGCTCCTCATGGGTCATCAGCCCAGGAAAGCTGAAAGAACTAGGGGCCTTTCCTCTGATAAGTTCCTCTGATAAGTGCCCAGAGGCTATATTTAGCATTTGCTGTTAAGCACATAAAGCCCTAGGAAAGTTCTGAGAAGGAGCTGACAGGTAGGACTATAGCATGGCTTTTTTTTTCTTTCCTCAACATGATACTTGGTGAAAGGTGGTGGTTAAGTTCCACAGACGGGTTAGGAAACCAGAAGGGAAGGGAAGCAGAGCAGTTACACACACATACACACACACACACAGTCTCTGAAAATTTTTGCTACTCTTAAATAAAAATACAGTTTATGTATACATGGAATACTGCCTGCATATCTAATTGCCAGACACTAACAAAAAAATAGTAGTTCTTGAGAAGGTCTGGGAAGGATGACTGTAACAATATGGCACACTCTGAAAAATTTAATTTTGGCAATGAATAGGGGCCAGAAGTGCCCACTCTAAAACCGAAATCGTTTGTGACCTTGAAGAGATCACTAACCCTGTATGAGCCTCTTTTCCTTTATCTACAAGATGAGAATCCTATTTTAATTATTGGCTTCTTTAGTTTAGAATCTCACAGACTGATAGAGAGGATGATTCCCCCACATGCCAGCAGGTTAGCAGGGCATACCTTCAAGTTTAAAATAGATCAATGTAGAAGAACTTAAAGGAAATACTATTTTACATAACAAGCAAGGGAAAACATGAGACATGTTTTCATGAGAGTTGGTATGGGCTGAGAGTATAAAAAGATTTCCTTGATGTCTCTGTAAATGAGGATGAAAGGTTCGTGTTGGGTTGTTAATGGAAATGTAGGTGGTTTGAGATCCCTTTGTCAGTGGGTCTTTTGATAGCCTTGTCACAAACAGACCACTGAGCTGGGCAAACCTTGGAAGGCAGATGAGTAGCATGTTAGCCTTGCTGATGCTCACGGTGCTTTTCTTCTCTGCTATCCAGAAATGTCCACTACTGAAGTGTCCACAGACTGCTGAAGAAGTCTTCCCCGCCCCACCCCTCACCCCTTTCCCTAACTTTCTTCCTCTGGACGTACTAACAAACAGGGAAATGCCTGCAGAGCAGAGAGCTGATGGGGAAAAAAGTGATGAACATGCCCTCTGGATATTCAACCCTTGATCTCTCCTTGTGGGGTTCAGGAAGCCATCTCCATACTCTCTTGAGTCTGCCACCTTCTGCCTATCAGCAAGTCCAGAATAAGCACCAATTGCATTCTGATACTGGAACTGCAGTTATAAAATATAAATAATTGGTCTTATTCCATTAGATATGAAAAATAGGTAAAAAGTCGAAAGCTAAATCTAGCTCAAGGTCAGTATGCAACCGTATGGCTTTCTACATTGCAAGTATGAAATAAGAGTTTCTTGGCATTCAGCTCAAGCCCCTGAGCAAATACACTGACGGCCTCTAATGTATGTGCCTAAGCAGAACCCCATTGCATTCAGTGCACAGTTCACATCATTATCATTGGCTGCCCAGATGACCGATGGGGATGTGTTTTAAAAGAGTGTTTTAGGGTCATTCCACCAAGGACCACAGCTGTCTTGAAATTGAGGCCAAGTCTGTTGGCATAGTCAAACGGAAATTTGAGAAAAACAAATTTCCCTCAAATGAACAGAAATCTGCTGTCAGTTTTGCTGAGTTTGAATCCTGGTTCCACCACTTTGGCCATTACTTGTGTGTTTCTTCAGGAGGAGGAGGCTAACAATACCACCTAGCCCCATTCTGAGGATTTTGAGATCACAGGCATGAAGAGTTTAAACAGCACGTCCTCCGTAGTATTTCAGAGTATGCCTTTTAAATTATGGCTCATACTGGTAACATTGTTGTTTACTGCTGCCACTAGATTGAGAGGGAAGGGCCATGAGTTTTAATTCCAGCATTTCCACGTACAATATGTTGAAGGAAACTTGCTGGATCTCAGAATTCTCATTTGTAAAATATTGTGACTTATTCAGGTCTCTCTAGAGTTCTGCTGAATGCTACCCCATTCAGCATCTGGATATTTCAGCTGAAATATAAGGGGAATGTTTTTGACCTAAAAATCGTTATAAATATGTCACTGCTCTAGTTCACTAAGCATACATCATAGTCACCTTATGTTTCATCATAGAACAAAAGAAATCATTTTCTTAGAGAGTTACATTCCAGGAAAGGGTCAGGAGATCTAAGTATATTTCCTTCTTCTTATTAAAATAACTTGTGGTAGAAGTCACTATCTCTGGAGGAATTATATTTCCTTTGACTTTAATTTTCCCTAACAGCTCTGTGTTACTGACTTTATGAAGTATTAAAAGCCAAAGCTGTATCTTTAAAATCTTATGGAGAATTAGGTACCCTGTAAATCCTCATTTTTCAGGTCAGGGGTTATATTTCTGAAAATATGCTTTTGTTCTTATAATTAAAACTTGAGATACAGCCAAGTGATAGAGTAGGGAAAAGTGGAATGAAGAGAATATCTATGTACGTATGTGTGCCTCTGTGTATATGTGTGCATGTGGATACATATATACACACACACACTCCTATGTACATATGTGTGCCTCTGTGTATGTGTGTGCGTATGGATACATATACACACACACGTGCACACTCCTATGCACATGTGTGCCTGTGTATGTGTGTGCGTATGGATACATATATACACACACACGTGTACACTCCTATGCACATATGTGTGCCTCTGTGTATGTGTGTGCGTATGAATACATACACACACGCGCGCACACACTCCTGTGCATGTGTGTGTGCCTCTATGTGTGTGCGTGTGGATACATATACACAGACACACGCACACTCCTATGCACGTGTGTGTACCTCTGTGTATGTGTGTGCGTATGGATACATATACACACACACGCACACTCCTACGCACGTGTGTGTGCCTCTGTGTATGTGTGTGCGTATGGATACATATACACAGACACACGCACACTCCTATGCACGTGTGTGTACCTCTGTGTATGTGTGTGCGTATGGATACATATACACACACACGCACACTCCTACGCACGTGTGTGTGCCTCTGTGTATGTGTGTGCGTATGGATACATATACACACACACGCACACTCCTACGCACGTGTATGCGCCTCTGTGTATGTGTGTGCGTATGGATACATATACACACACGCACACTCCTATGCACGTATGTGTGCCTCTATGTATGTGTGTGTGTGCATACACATACACACACACACTCCTATGTATGTATATATACACACACACACCCATATATGTGTATATATACACATTTATGTATGCATATGTATATATGTGTATACACACACTCACACATACCCACATTTGTTACAGAATGAACCATCATTCTGAGGATTGTGAACAATCTATTTACTATAATAAATAAGAACTTACAGTATTTTCTTGTTGCTGCAGATAAAAGAAGCAAGTGAAAACCTTCCAGAGGATGAAGATACCATTGCAGATTCCACATTTCAGAACCACATCATAGGTAAACATTTACATCTTGGTACATCTTTATGGGTGATACTTTCTGAATGTGACCTTCTTTCAGACACAGTGTGTTCCTATGGAGCATGTCTCATGCCTAGCCTCTATTAGGCTGGGTCTTCTTTTTTTAAAAGATTTTTATTTATTTATTTATTTATTTATTTATTTATTTATTTATTTATTCATTTCAGAGAGGGAGAGAGCACAGGGGGAAGGTCAGAGAGAGAGAGAGAGAATCTCAGGCAGACTCCACGCTGAGTGCGGAGCCCTCCGTGGGGCTCCAGCTCAGAACGCTGAGGTCATGATCGGAGCCAAAACCAAGAGTCAGACACTTAACTGACTGCACCATCCAGGTGCCCCTAGGACTGGGTCTTAACTTCTCACACATGGTTACTTCTATCTTCTCAGACACTTTAAGCTACCAAACAATAAGTAGTTCAAACAGGACCTATAAAGGAAACATAGGTGTTTTCAAAGGAACTCACTGCAAACTGATGAGAAGCGAGTCCTTGTCAATATGAAATGAGAATAATACTGAGTATAAAAATTTCTCTGGGGAAAACAATCAACTTTGAATTCATCCAGTTTCTCTAATTGTCTCAAGAAGCATCTTCACAACTACCATTGGTTAGACCTGAGGGATGGTATCTTTCTTAAATTGAATATTTTTTAATAGAATGTGTTTTACACACAGAACCAAGTAGATTTAGGTGCACCTGGCTTTGCCAAAACCTCACAACTTACTTTCTTCATCATTTCTGGGAGAGCCCTGAGCATCAGTAGTCCTGTCTCTGAAATAAGTTTGATTTGTCAGCTCTTTCTTAAACCTGTGCATCAGCCTAGATCGAAGGGACTCAGCTTCCCAACACAGAAAGACTTGCTGACCCTTTGCTGACCTGTTTTCAGCAGCCAGGAGGTAGCTGGTGACAGAGTGGTTGTCTGTGACTGTGATCCTTGTCAGGTGACGGAAGAGGTGATACACTTAACTGTTCTGGACCACCGTGGACGACTGCAGAATTCTTTTTTCCTCAGGCTCTCGGAAGAGCTGTGCATGGAAGCATGCTGATTATTTAGTGTTACACAAGATACCAAGGCATGATGGAATAATTGCTACCACTCACATTCAGGTATAGCATTTAATATTGAATCCCGCGTTCAAGGGTATGACAGCCCCCCAGATTGCTGGTTTCGATGAGTGTCCACGGCTCCTATCCCTTCAGCTGCCAGCTCGGAGCCCCTCAGTGCCCTTAGAGCCGTGTTGGTACACTCTGGGCCTGCTTTTCTCGCATACCCAGAAGTCTTCTGCAAACTCTAATTTACAGTTTATCTCAGAGAGTTATTGTACTCCCACAGCTTAATGAGACTGGCACACCATTATTACTCTTTTCATTTGTAATTGAGGATACTAAAATTCTTAACAAACCGCTGAATGAGTGGTCTGAACAAGATTATTGTTCCACAAAGACATCCTTTATTATAGTTGTCGATGTAAAATGCTTAAATTGGTATCAGTTGTTTGTAGTTAGCTAATATGCAAGTTAAATACTGTTTAACAACCTTCAAACATGACACTATGTAAAGCCCCGCTGAATCATCATTTTTTCCATAAGGAGGTGTTCCTGGGCCTATGAAATAACATATATAAAGTTAAAGGCTGAATGTTTTTCAAAAAGAACTACAGTAATCTAACTATGCTTTAATAGACTTGCAATTTTTTTAGATTTGCATTGTTCGACATGCTAGCTAGTAGCCATAGGTGACTATTTCAGGTTCAACTTAAATTAATTAAAACTATGTACAATTAAAAATTCAGTTCCTCCATTTGCACTAGCCTCATTTCAAGTACTCAGTAGCCACATATTCAGGGTGGTCTGTATGAACATTTCTATCATCACTCAAAGTTCTATTGGAAAGTGCTCTTTTCGATTACTCTCATGGAAGTAAATTTGGACCAGGTTTCTGACAGGGGGCTGACTTGGTCTGCACGTAATATAGATTTATCTCCTCAAACTAGGGGAGAATTGTATGATAAGCTGCTATTGGCTGCAAGTAAAACAGCAACAAGACGGACTAGCCATTATACGTGAGTAATGAAGTCATTTAATCATCTTACACAATTAAAAATCTGGAGGAAAGTAAATACGAAAGAAGGCTAGCAGCTCAACGATGTCATCGAAAGCCCTGGCTTTTTGTCCTCATATCTGTTGCCTCTGGTTGCAGATTGATTCCTGCCACTCTAGGCATTCCATTTACATTCAAGGCATGAAGTATAAGGAAGAGTAAAAGCTCCTTCAGAATCCATCCCACAGACTCCATCTTACGTGTCATTGATGAGAAGCAGATCATGAAACCAATCCTAGCTGCAAAGGGTGCTGGGGCAGTCAGTATGTTGCTTCTATTTATTTGCATGAGGTAGCAGAGAGAATGCGGTTGAGAATATTCCCTAGGTTAACCAGTCAACAAAATCACCACAGCCAACCTTCTCAGAGCTGCATCCATTTCAAGACTGAATGAGACTCAATAGATCAAGTGGTGATTTCTCTTTATTCCAGAAGAATGACTGAGAATATATATTTAGCACCCTGATAAACCAATATTCTTCGTTTTGTCTAAACTAAGTGTTGTCACATAGCCTCGCAATATTACATAACCATAGAAAGTTTTTTCACTCACAGCAACTGAGCAAATCTAAATATTTTATGCTTCTAACCAGATACCAGCTAATGTCTTTGACAAAAAAGAATAATCAGAAAATTTGTGAACCCGAATGTTTGTATTTCTGTAGTTAAGGATAATCACGTTGGTTTAATCAAAATGTTACTATGAGTTGATTACATGACAGATATTGTTAACTAAGCCTGCTCTGTATTGAAATTCAAGATTCATGAATTAAATAAAATAATACAACTAGATTTTTTCTTTAAAATCACCCTAATAAATGTCAGACTTCCATGTTAATAAGCAACAAGAAAATGACTATTAGCCTAGCCTAATAGAAATGTTAACACAAATGATCACAAACCCCATATTTCTAATTGCTCTTTCCTGCTATTTAACTGTAATAGGTTCACCCTACTATGTATTATATTAATTATCTAATAGGATGAAATGATCAGTGGGAATTCAAATAACACTTCCATATTAAAAACACCAGCCAGTGATAGCATCAAAAATAATCGTCTAAGTGGAGGCAGAGGATCCAGAAATTCCTATAAAGTGGAGAAAATGCCTTTTAAGGAGGTTGAGGAAGAAACCAAGCAGAATTGAATGATATACAAGAAAACAAGAATTCATGGTAGACTCTGTGAAGTGAAGGATGCATGTTATTTGCTCCAAATTTTAAAGAGGTATAAAGAACAATCTGGCCAATAGCCCAATGGGCTATTTGCATCATGAAATCTGTTTACTCTCGCCTATTGGCTGGGTGTCTTCTTAGTCTCTTCTAAAGGAGCCCTTCTGGCTCCTATCGCCAGGGGAGAGCATGACAAAGGGCATGGTCTAGCCCTGAATCTGGCTTTCTTTGGGGAGCTCTATGGAGTTGCGTTGGTACTCCCCTACCCACCTCAGGAATTGCCTCCAAGGGATGTGTCTGTGGTCCTCCTGTTTCCGTTTTTCCCCAAACTGGCCTTAGCTAGCAGCTAATATATTATGCAGGAAGATATTAGGTGCTCAATAAGGACCCCCCCTTTGACTTAATTATTAGACCATATACCAGTTGATTTCCATTTTCCTGAGGCATTTCATTTCCTTATTCCCTGTTCTCTCCTAGACTCTAGCTAGCTAATCTGGTAAACTAACTCATGTTGGAGCAGTAGATTAAGAGGGTATTTTTTCAGGTCACGTATTTGCATTATAACAAAGACTCAAGAAAAGTTTTACTTCTAGTTAAGAGGAACTCTTGAAACTTTCATTCAGGTTTCAGGCACTCGCATCACTGGTTTGAGCAAATTATAGGGTGAGGAAGAAAGGACAGAATCAACCTGACTTCGGACACTGAATAGCACAAGAAGCAGTGCTAGGGAGGAAAAGTTATTTTGTCATATAACCCTGCTTTTGAAAGATAGCCTGCCTGAAAGCTAAGAAGTGGGGCAAAGCTGGGTTGAGCCAAGTAGAGGAGATGCACAGAACCAGGTACAATCGCCATTTCACATCAGTGTAGTACACAGACCTTGTTCTCCTAACCTTTTTACACCCAACCATAAAACATCGAAGCCATGTAGTATTGTGCCCAGTCTGGAGTTTGATAGAGGCAGAAGGGATAAAAGAGTCACATGCCACAAAGCTACTATTGTCACAGAATCTATACATCAGATTCCAGTGAAGGTCAATGGATGCAGCAGCTTCTTCACCCAACAGAGGAGAGAAGTCTTAGCATGATGACAAAATGTCTCTGGCTGTGGTTCTTAGGACAGAAAGAGAAGGTCTCACAGACTCTTGATTCAAGAACCTCAGTTACATGGAGAGTAAGAACCAACACCTGGATGTTTATCTCATCTGAATGGAAGGAGCTCTGAAACCTACTTTATTGTATTAATATTAAAGACCTAATATAATATGGTCAACAATTGTTATCCATATAGACTAAACAGTTTGAATTATCAAGACCACAATTATTTTCAATCCAAGACAGGATTACCATAGTTATTAGTACCAGTAGGGTTAGGTTCAGATGGAAGTGAATGAAACCCCAAAGTACAGTGGTTTAAATACAGGACAGAAATTTCTTATTGTCCAGAGGAAGGTGATCCAGGTTGATAGGACAGGACCGGGTTCTTACTATCTTGTCCCTCTGGTTCGTATGTTTTCCATTCCCATGGTCACTTCATTGTTCAAGATGGCTATTAAAAAACCATCCACGTTCTAACCAGCAGGAAGAAGTGATAAGGAAGGATATGGTTCATCCCTTTATGAACACTTCCTAACAGTTGACCCATCCCTTCTGCCGTTGGCCAGTACTTGGTACATAGAATGGGAAACGTGCTAGGCAGGAGGCTATATGTC